AATCTCTTTTTCTTTTTTTTTAATATATTAACTTAAAAAATAATAACTACTTTAGCCTATTCTAGTCTTAAGTTTAAGAAATTAAAGTAATAATATAAATAAGAATTTTACTTTAAAGCCTATATATTTTTAAAATAAGTTTAAGGTTATATAGATTTAAACTAATCTTATTTTAATAATAATTTATACTTAAAACTTTATAGATTTATTTAGCTTTAATATAAAGATAAATACTTAAATATTAATTATATAAACTTAAAAATTACTTATAAAAAGGTAATAGATTTTTAAAAAGAAATAATAACTATAGTTAAAAAAAGGTAAAAAAATATTAGTTTAATTTAAGTCTAGGTTAGTATTATTATAAACTTTAAACTCTTTTTAAAAGCTTAAAGAACTACTAAAATAAAGGTAATAAAACTAGGAGCTATTTATAATTAATATACTTTTAAAGATATTCTTAAAGAATTAAAGGTTATTATTATTTTAAATTTTAAAAAAGTAAAATAAAAGGTAAAAAAAGAATATAAGTAAATTATAACTATTAAAAAGATAATATTAAATAGACTAAGTTAAATCTAAATATAAAAAAAAGTATATTAAATAATATTATTTTATTAAATTCTTAATATAAAAGGATTAATAGCTATTATTAACTTCTTAGATATAATTAAAAAGAAAATAATACCTAAATAGGCTATATTTTTAAAAAGGGATTTTATTAATATAGTATAATACCCTAATATATATAATCTAAATTAAACCTAATTTAGTACCTATAATTATAAGGAACCCTAGTAATTAAGGGATTATATACTATTAATAAAGTTAATACTACTAGTATTAAATATATAATAGCTAAAGATCTATAGTAAATATAAATTATATAAAATAACTAATTAGCTATAAGATAAAAAGGTATTTAAAGTTAGCCTAAAAAAGAATTAGTTATAAGATTAATAAAACCTATATATAAGTTAAGCCTAAATTAAGACTTTAAATAGACTTATAGGAATAAGACTAACTTATATAAGTTTTAATTAGTATTTAAATAGTATTTAAACTTTAATTAAAAAAATAGGTTATCTTTTTTTTAGTTATTATAAAATAAAAAGGATATTTTTTAAAAAGAAAAAGGGAATAAGCTTTAGTCTTAATAAATAATATAACCTACCTTTTTCTTTCTTTACTTTTTTACCTAATCTAACCTAACCTTTATAATTTTAAAGCTTTTATTAAAAGATTACTTAAAAAGAGAATAAAAGCTATTATTAGAAATAAAGCTAAATTATAAAAAAAAAGAGGTATTTTAACTCCTTTATCTTCTTAACCTCTTTTAAAATATTCCCTTATTATACTAATAAGGGAAGATATAATCTAAGAAATTAATAATTTCCTTAAGGAAATTAAAAATAGTATATTCTTTTTACTAAATAAAAAAGAAAAAGAAATCTAATAATAGATTTATAAGGTTAAATAAAAGAATACCTTAAAGAAGGAATTTTAACTTTTTAAAACTAAGCTAAATAAAAGAAGTTATTTATTATAAAATAAAAGTAATAAAAATAACTACTTTTTTTAAGGTATTTAGATTTAAAATATTATTAAACTATTAAATTAATATAACTTTTAAATCTATAATTAATAAAAAAAGGACTTATAAAAAGCCTTTATAACTAATTTAAAAAAGTTTTATAAAGAATCTTTAAAAATTATTTATATTTAGAAATATATAGACTTAACTTATTAGACTAGATAAGATTAATATCTAGATAAGCTATTATTAATTAAGTAAAAAGAATATAATAATAATTAAAATTACTTTATAAAATAAAATAAAGTCTTATTAAAAGACTTTATTAACCTAGAAATAAATATAGCTATTACCTTTAAGTTTACTAAATAGAGGCTAAGTTAATATCTTATAGATTTTTATTTATATTTAGATTTACTAAAAAAGAAGGTATTAATATTTTTAGAAGTTAAGAGAGTTTAATAGTATTTTATAAAACTATAAGAATAGTTATAAAAAAAAATTATTAACTATATAAGTAAAAACCTAAAAACTAAAGAAAAAGTAATATTAGCTATAACTTAATACTAAGAAAGTAATATATTAAAATAAAGACTTTTAAACTAAAGATTAAAAGAAGGTATTAATAAGAGGTATAAACTAAACTATAAGAATAACTAATAGGATTAAGATAAACTAAAGCTAGATTATTAAGGAAAACTACTTATACTTTATTAAAAAAGAAAGTTTCCTTTATCTTAAAGAAAGAAAGAAATTATTTATTATAAGTATAATAAACCTAGGTATATAGTACTTAAATACTCTAAGTATAAAAATACTAATAAGCTAGACTTAGGAAAAAGAAACTAAATAGTATAATTAGTTTTTTTACTATTTTAGTCTATACTAACCTTTTAGAACTAAAAATATAAAGCTTAAAAAAAAAGCTATAATTAGAGTTTAAAATAGGCTTAATATAAAAAGAACCTATATAAAAAGAAATAATAGTTAAACCTTTCTATATAATAAGTATTCTAGCTAATTAGATAAATACTACCTAGGTTATTTTAAATATAAAGGTAGTTATAAGTTTAATTAGTATTAAGTTAGCTTTATAACTTAATATTTAAAAATTAAAAGTAAAACTATTAAGAATTAAGATAATAAGAAAGGCTTAACTTTAAATAAGTAAACTTTATAAAGTACTAATTACTTTAATAGATTCTAAAAATATTATAAGAACTATTATAGTTTAATATTCTTTATCTTAAGATTTAGATTAAAAAGACTACTAGCTTTTAATTAAGATATTAGGTTTAAAAAACTATAATATCTTTATTAATCTAGTTTAATAACTATAGTTCTTTAAAATCTAAAGTATATAAATTATATTAAATAAGCCTTAGTAGTTTAAGAAATAACTATAAACTACTATAGTAATTTTTATAGTAATTAACTTACTTAAACTATTACTACTTCTAGAAAATAAAGAAAAACTAAAGTTAATACTTTATATAATCCTTTTAGAATTATAAGATTACCTTAATATATTTAATAACTTTAAGACTAGAATTATCCTTAAGTTTAAGGATTCTAACTATACTATTAATATAGTAAAAGGATAGATACTACCTTATAGTCTTATTTATCCCCTTTTTTTAAAAGAACTTAAAACCTTATAAGAATTTATTAATAAAGCTTTAAAGAAAAGGTAGATTTACTTTTTAATAAGCCTTATTAAATCTTTTATATTATTTATTTTTAAAAAAGATAAAAGCCTTTAACTCTATATTAATTATTAAAGTCTAAATAAGGTTATTTAAAAAAACTAATACTTATTACTTTTAATTATTAAGATTCTAGACTAAATCTTTAAAGTTAAATACTTTTTAAAAATTAATATTAAAGATATATATTACTATATTTATATTAAAAAAGGTAATAAATAGAAAACTATATTTAATAGTTATTATAAATACTATAAGTTCTTAGTAATACTATTTAAATTAATTAATATATTAATAATATTCTAAAGCTATATTTACTAAGTAGTAAGTAAACTATTAGACTATATTTATATTATCTACTTTAATAATATCTTAATTTTCTTAAAAACTAAAGAAGAATATATTAAATATTTAAAATTAGTTTTAAAGAAATTATATACTATAAAACTATATATTAAGCTTTTAAAATATAAGTTTTATTAGTTAGAAATTAAGTTCTTAAGATTTTTACTTTTTAAATAAAGAATTTAAATAGATCCTATAAAAATAAAGATAATCTAAAAGTAACTTAAAATAAAGATATTTTAAGAAATTTAAGTATTTCTAGGATTTTATAATTTCTATTAATAGTTTATTAACTAATATTTAACTATAATTCTTTTACTTATAAGTTATTTAAAAAGTATAATAAATAGGAAAAAACCTAGAAAAGTAAATATAAATAAAGCTAGCTAAAAGGTATTCTAATAGCTTAAAGAAGTATTTTAATATATACTACTATTAAAGAATTATAAGGTTAGAAAACTAGTTTAACTTAAGACTAATATATTTAAAGATATAGTATTAAAGATAATATTTTAAATAAATAAAAAAAGGAAATACTATCTTTTTACTTTCTAGTCTTAGAAACTAATAAATATAAAATAAAATTATATTATTAAAGATTAAGAAATATTAGTAATTATAAAGAGTTTTAAGTATTAGTAATAATACCTTAATAAGACTAATATATTAATAGAAGTCTTAATAAACTATTTAAATCTTTAAATATTTATAAATATTTTATAACTTAATAGTAAATAGGCTAAATAATATATATTTCTAATACTATTTAGTTTTATAGTAAAATATTATATAAAGAAAGGTAATTTAGTTAATACCTTAAGTTACTAATTTAACTATATTTTAAAAAATAGCTTAGATATAAGTCTAATAGATAATCTTAAAAAGAAGATAATATTTATTATTATAATTAGTACCTAAGCT